ATTAATTCTGCCATGTGAACCGCCATGTTTTACCCCAGATTAACCCAGCCGTTCCACACTTTTTTAGGACGGAGGCTGAAGCAAGGGAAGTTGCAATCTGCAATACCACTGTCTAATGCACACTAAATCCTACATACATTTGGTCCTTTAAGTGTATCTCAGTTTTTTTTTAAAAATTGTTCAGTACATGGAGGATTGTTTCCGTGGATCTTACATTGGCAAAAAAAAGCCTCTTTAAAAAATAAAAATCTGATCCTTCCGTGACACGGAATATATATATATATATATATATATATATATATATATATACATATAAAAGGTGTATACTGGAAATTCAATAGAGCTGGAATAAGTTAAATAAAAGATTTATCTTCTTATTCTGGGAGAGCGACACCAAAAATGCACTGCTATTCTTGCCATCAGGAGACAAACTACTGGGAAGCCTGATTCAGATTTGGTTCCTGATCCTGAGCCATAGGTTAATACACAGAGAAAATCTTTTGCCACAGATGTTTGTTTCATTTTATAAAAAAGGAATATAACAGTTCTGTGTGTCACTACGGCTTAGCCTTATGAAAGAAACTCTGTCAACAATAATTAACTGTTTGGAACTCAGTTGAAATGGGTTATGTAGCACATCCTCTCTCTGCATGCATGGCTGTGTTCTTAGTTGAAAGTAGAGAAAACCCAGTGTTTCCCTGTGTTATGTACTGACGGTCATGCAGACTGACATTAATTGTCATGCAAAGCCAAAAGGGTTAGTTTAGCATTTCCAAACATGCCAGAAGATTTATGCATATGTGTGTGCGCAAGGGCTTGCGTGTGTTCCCGAGTGAACTGCGGCTATCATCTGTGTTTGAGTTGGTGGGCACAATAAGTCATCACATTAAAAAAATGTCTCTCAATCGTTCAAAACATGTAATGGAAGAAATGTTTCTCATATGATGACAGGACTGTGAGGGGGCTTCCAAGGTCCCATGACTCTCTGAAGTCACTTAGCGTAATTTACCACATATGTCAGAGGAGACTGGAGACGATAATTGAAGGTGACCTCAATTTAAGAGCACTGCAGTTTGCAAGGCCATTGATTCTTGTAAAGAGGGAGAATATTTCTGTCTCTCCTCTAAAAGACGGCGAATATGTGCCAATGTGAGAGGGGAAAGAGACCATGAGCATGTGTAAGAGAGTAAGAATGTAATGATTGTGAGTGTATCATGACCTGTGCTGCTGTTTCTATCTCTTGTACGGTATCTCTAAAGACCTATCTCCTTTCTAGTCTCTCTCTTTAACTCTTCTGCCCGTTTCATTTTGCCTTTCTCTTCTTCACTTCTATCCTTTTCCTTAATCTAAAAGCAAATCAGTCATTCTCTGTTCACTCATCACCTCCCACTCCCCAACCCTATCCTCCTTTTTCCCCCCACTTTGCCACAACCCTTTTTTATTGTGCTGGTTCTAAAGAAGAAATCTGATGCCATTTTTCCTCTCTGAAGTCATTTAAGATGTCGCAGATAGCTAACGAAGCAATTACACATGGCAGACTTGTCGCCTCATATAAGAAAGCAGTGGAGCCTGCCATGCCTGTAGATGTATAGTGAGAGAGATATAGGCTTCCATGTACAGCCACTGAGGGTAATGGAGCAGAAAGCCAATTTTACCACAGTGTAGCAGTAATGATTATGACAATCTCAGGTGTCTGCTATTATCATTATCACTGGACAACTGTATGCATATGTGTGAAGTATGATCGGGATAAATGTCATGAGAAGGGATTGAGGATTGAAAAGGGTGAAAGCAGATTGGGGCAAGGTGGAGGATTTATGAAATGGCAGACAGAATAGAGGGAGGCAAAAGAGAAGAAAATATTAAGTGAAAAGGGAATTAGGGAAAAAAGAGGTCCTCAGAAGAATAACTTAATTATGGTAAGATAGGAAAACAAAAAAAGGACTCTGTGTCTGTCATTAGTAAAACTCTCAACAGGGATATGAAAGAAGACTGAAAGAGGAGAGTGAGGGAGGATTGGAAATAAAGCACAGGTTAAGTGGTATCCTCAACAGAATGTGGATTTCATGCTATAATTGGGAGTGTGCATATACAGTAAATGGTGTGATCAAGTAGACAGACACTGACTTTATATCTCAATATCACAGTGATCACAATGTACAGTAGGGCTCTTTGAGGCCTGTTGTCCTTAATTCAGAAATATTTAATGAAGACACCAAATGGCTCTTCAATATAAAATACATGGGGATGCACCCATTATCCATTTTTTCTATAAGATGCATCCGTGTCCTGAAAGCAGTCAGGGACAAGAGAAATACATTTGGCTTCATATAGTATGAAAGTTAATGCAAATCGTAGCGAGATGTGGTGGGCAGACACACAGAGAGAGATGATCCATAATTTATTCAAAACAATAACCAAGGTTGGTTTAATTTGATTCAAGAGTTAAGACATGTTTCTTTTATGGAAGGTCACTGACAGGTCAAACCTCAGTATCCACAACTGTTAAAAGACACAAAATTACCACAGGGTAAAGGCTAAATAATAGATCGAAGGTTGTTCTAAGGAGGCTTGCTAATTGTAAAGATCAAATATTTATCAGATAAGCCCTCTATCATGAGACCATGGGGGATGTTAAATGCATGCCAACGTTAAAATGTTGTAAAACTGAAGATAACACTGAAGGATATTTTCAAGATAATTTCTACAAGTAAATGTATAAAAAAGCTAATACAGTTACTGCTAAAACAATTTCCCCCTCTCTGTGTGTTATCTATTCTATTTAAAAAAGCCACTGCATCGCAAGATGAAATGCAACCATCTTATAAAATGAAATTAAGCTATTGCTGATTGCTTAATCTTGCTAATTGTGATTGCAAGATGATTCATAAAAAAGATTGTTACTGTTTCTTGTCACTGTTTCTATAAAACATCAGGTTTTAAGAAATATATTATAATCTAGTTAGTATGTTTCCAGCTGTGCACAAGTAACACTGAATAAGAAAGGTATTGGTTGGGTCAGTTTTCACTGGTCCTACTGGGATTATTGCTTTTTTCCGTTCACACCAAGGTCAACTCTATTTTCCAAAATATTAAGATATGTGATAATAATTCTTACATAGGCTGACTACTTTTTCATGATGTCAAATGATTGCAAAGGCATTATGTTCCTGGTTAATTCCAAGTGAATGTAAGAAGGAAGTACTGCAATACTGGACAGCCATATTTGGATGCATTATAATAAAAAGCCATCTTCACTACACAGTGGTGATTCCCACAGCATAGTTAACCTGAGAACTAAGTATTGTCACTCAAGCCATCATTGCATACGGGAAGGGCGTTAACCTGGGTTGAGAGACACAAGGTTACTTTTCATAATCATCAATTTACATTGAGGTCTTTGTCCGCTTTTAACCTGTCTTTTCATGCTCACACTGCAGAGAGCAGAATAAATCATTTTACATACATAGCGGTCCTTGTCCTTGTCCATCGAAACAAAAAGGAAATGGGTCTGCCAACTATTCTGTCACATGCTCACAATTTCACATGTGAACATGTGAATGGAGGTAGTGGGTCGCTTGAAGGGCACTACATGGTTACCATTTTTTACTGCTATCCCAAGGCTTTAATTTAATTTTAGCATTTCCTTTGCACACAATTATACTTTGATTCAGGAGAGGATTTTCTCTGGCTTTTCTTCATGGTGGTGAGGTGGTCGGAGTCAGGTAAAATTTTTTCCTAGCTTTTTCCTTACCCTTTTATGGGGCTACATATCATTTAGGAAGGCGATTCTAGGCGAGGAATATTAGCCTCTCTTTAGTCAGTTCCACATACTAATTTAATTGAATCCAAATGACAGACCAACAAATGTTTGGAGTATTAAGGGAGACTGTTGCAGGAAAACTGTATTACAAGTGCCTTAATTCCCTTAGATGTAATTATGCTCTCTGATTAGGGAATTGTGCCTAAATGTAATTATGCTGTGCTTTAAAGATTAATTTTGTCTGTGATGGCATGTTCCGTTATGTTGGTGTCTCACCACATTATCCATAATCACATCTCACTATCTCAACTGCATTCGTAAAGAGATCCCTCCACAATGGAGGACAGACACTGTGTGTGTGTGTGTGTGATGTCCCTCTGTCCAACAGCATTTTGTGAAGGATTGTGCATTGCAATTCTGGGTCTTATATGGTAACTCATTTCAATGATGTATGCTTATCCATGCATATATTTAGGAGCTTTGAACCTAACAATATAAACACAAAAAATACAGTTATACAGGAAGTACAGAATTTACCTCCCAGATTTGAGTTTACGGCATCAGCTGTGACTGAGTCGCTGAACATATTTTGACAGACAGACACTTGCACACATGTACACCAACACATACACACAGATGCACACACATAATCAATAAACAAACAGTGTTATGAACGTGTGCGTGTGTGTCTGTGAAGGGAAGAGATGTCTTTCATGAGGGCTGTTAAAATTCATTATGCATGTGTCATTACCTAATACCACTTGAAAATGCTTCTAATTAATCCATTTAACACTGGGATTTATTGAAGGGGAGGTGGGTTGTTGGGCTGATGCTGCATTCTACTGGTGCACATAAAAACATGAAAAAAAAAACAAGCACAACTAAACACAAGAAAACAAAGAAGAGGACTGTGAACTGAAAGAGATACAAATGTAAAGATGTAACTTCTTCTTTGCATTTGTTCTGCCACACTTTTAACTAGGTTTAGAAATCTAGACAATTCCAGAAGTAAATGCAGAGAGGTGGCAGGGCTGTACTCTGCTACACAGGGGTGACAGCCACAAGGAAAGGAATAACCTGAATAAATATGAGGTGAAAATAATGTAGAGAGCAGGTGCAGTGAAATTCCTTGATAAATCCAGGAATTATGTAAATCTACTCTACACGTTAGAGCAGAAATTATTCCCCCTTCACCCACAGCAGTACACCACACAGGGGTTCTGTTTTAACTACTTACCCTACTGACTCCTCGTCCCCTGTCTTCTCCATAATTTGTTCCCAGGATTTCAAAGAAGATGTTGGGGTTACTGCCATTGTCAGTGAACTCCAGGAAACTGGTGAGGCCGCTCACTCCGAACTGCAAGGACAAGACAGAATGTTTTTAACTGATGACTGTGGACATTTTACCATGGTGTGGTAAAATTGATGATTGATCAGTATGATAACTGCAGACAGTGAAACTGAGACATGAATCATCTGTCTGCCCCTTATGAAATTATTATATGTCATTTAGCACGGGTACTGAATAGGAAAACCTTTTTGTTGTAATAGACTAAAATATAACAATGGGATTTTGTATGCGTGCATACTTTTTCTGTGTCACAAACAGGCAACATTAGGGGAATGTATTTTGCCCTTAGATTTGTTGCAATGTTCTGGAAGTACCAGGCTGATGAAAAAATTGTGTATTTGGAGCCATTGGACATATTTGCACTAGGGGCATACAGTGGCCTGTGTGGAGAGATATATTTACTCACAAGCACACACACACACAGTTTCAGTCCCCAACCTATGCCCTGCCTCCTGGTAGTGTGACCTGTCAGTGAAAGTGACACTGCCCGCTTCAGGGAAGGAGAGGTGTTATACTCCTACATATGATTCATGCTCTGTGTGTGTATGTGCTTGCACCTGTGGGTATGAAACTTGTGCCATTTATGTGCGGTGACACATGCACACACCTTCGGATAATTAATTCATTACAATACTTTCATCATCATAACTCTGATGACTCTCTGATAACTATCATCCATTTGTTGACATATGGCATTATAAATAATGTTTTTTCAACCTTATAAACTATCATTGGTTAGACCTGCAGAACAGAACTTTCGTCTTCGGCTTCTGGCAGTAAGTGATTACACAAACACAAAACACAAGAATTTTCAGCACCACCCCACCTCGTTCATACAGTTCAGCACTCAATAAAGAAACCAACCCCAGTTCAGCCTATCAATCGAGCCTCTTTAATCACAAACAAACCCTCCCTTGGGTTTTCAAAGGAAGCCAACACAACATACTCAGTTTGAGACGTACAACCTTTGGCCAACGAAAATAAACCCAAGTAAAGCTTCTTGTGTCTAATAGACAAGCTTAGACATTCTTCAACAACTCTGGCAACAACTTCAACAACTCTGGCAGCATCATTCTGGCCGTAGTCCGGACAGTATGCTGCTGTCAACTCCAGGGAATGGTCATGCTTCGAGCGTTTTGATGGTACATCCACAAAGTCGAAGACAGAGTTGGAGAATAATCTGATTCTGTAGAATGGTTGAACTATGAATTACAGACATTTTGACTTGTTGCCAGGGGTTGGCCTAGATATTCCCTGAGCTGACTAGTGAGGGTGCGTATGACAAGTTGCTACACTATGCCTCCGCCATGCTCCTAGGTGCTGTAGCCTACCCCGTCGCTACAGTTGCTACCCCCTTCAGCTCCGGCAAACCAATCATTGCTGACGCCACAGACACCAGATTTGAAAACTTATATATTGCAAAGTACAGAGAGATTTACCCGGTGTTGATATAATCAGTATTGGCAAGGCTCTCATTTGGCAAGTCTCATAGAAATAATAACTCTGCAACTAAGCTACAAGAGCAAACAAACTTGGTTGTTGTCTAGCTAGTGATGTACCTCCTATTTCAGATGATATATTTAGACATATTTGTGTGGTACATACAGTATCTTTGTCATCACACATGCATGGGTGTATGTACAGTTTGCGTACAGGTGTCTTAGCTGTGCATATGTGTTGATATAAAAATAAGGGACACAAAAATGGTTTCATTAGTGTGTCCTTTATGAGTATATGATATAGTTTATAAATTATGTTAATGTGCCATTTGGTATACTGTAAGCATATTTAATTATTTCATTCCCCAAGGGTCAAGCACACACACACACACAC